GGGGGGGGGGGGGCATATAGTGTTGCCCATGTCCGCCCTGTCGCGTCCCATCCCGTCCGCTCCATGAGCGGGGGCATTTATGTCTTACAGACATTTTCTGGTTTTTCTTCTTTTTAAACTTTAAGATATTCTAATCCTCATTTTTACTTGTACATGTATTAGTTTATAGAAATCTGACTGACAGAGAACCACTTTCTATGTACATAAAGTGTTTGTTTTTATTTCAGTACACACATACAATGTACATGTATCATATAAAAAAACAAGTTAATTGACAAAAGAAGACATTTGCATTACATTATGCACTAACGTTTTCACATATTATTATATGATGAATATGTTACTTATCTCTTGTTTTTAAATATCATGTAGATATTATACTAGATTTTTGTTTAATTTTCTTTAACTTGTTATGATAAACCAGACCCAGCAACATTTATTAGCCTAGTGCTAGTATAGGCTTTCATATTCAAACTGGAGAACATCATGTTTTCTTGAGTTTTGATTTTGGGAACAAGTAGCAATGTAAATTTGATAATGGTTTTGTTTGACTGTCCCTAACATATGCAGTGAAGAGTCATTATGATCCCTTATTTGATCAATAATGTCACCTTGAAACTAGAAAACAATGTATATATGTAGTAGGTTAATTCCTAATCTGGTGTCCTTGAAGGTCCCAATGATTGGAGCTGGAGAATCCGGTACGGCGCCATACAGTCGCTGGTGAAGGTTGTGCGTTGTCTTGGTGCGGACAAGAATAAGGAGGGGATGAAGACAGCGGCTTGGAACATCCTACTGAGGGCACACTCCCACGAAAAGGATGACCGTGTCCTCGAGGCACTGAAAGTGGGACAGGTCAGTACATCAATTGTACAGTTATAATTATTTGTAGAAGTACATTAGGCGTTCTCATACATTAGAAATATATAAATTAAAGCTTTAAACTTGACTAATAATGAATAAAAAATAAAAGCTCAGATTGAGCCCTAACCTCTCTACATTTTACATTGGACAGATGCACATAACTACATTTTAAGAAGTGAGCCTATTGTTAAATTTGAAATATCCATTTGTCAATTTCTTTCCCTGATAAGGATTAACTAGAGTAAAAGTATCAGCTAGTCACGGTATATTAATGTATGATGGTTAGACTTTAGAACATTTTCCTGCCACTGCTGTTTCCTCTGGTGGACCACCCCTTACTCAGTACACAGGGTCATTTACTTGCTGATACGTGTATATTATAAACATACTTATCCCTATTACTTTCTTAACAGGTCCATACTGACATAGAGCAAATGTTTGAGAAATTTGCGACACAATCACAGCCAGTGATGATAGGATCCAAGATGGCTGCTGGACTTTCCAACATTTACCTACCCCCACTGCCCCCTCCTGTAGACCACTTCATCCCCAAACCAAAGACCTCCTCCCCACCCTTCAAACTCAAACAGGACATCACCCCTAGAAAGACCCTCCCCAACAGGACATCCCTCAAGTAAGTTTTGTTGTCTAGGTGTTTAGCTGTAAATATTATCATACATTGTATCTTGACCATATGTAAGATGAGCTTCATGCTCAATATGGTATCAAGAATAGATAAAGCCTTTATTATTATTATTTTATTACATATATAATCAAAACTATTTCATGTGAATTCATATATATATATGTTGTCTACATGTAAATACTGGTATAGGATCAGATAAAAGGTCATAATCTATGCAGACCTTTTGAAAAATCAACAGATATTCATTTAAATTTAAAAAAATGTTTGTAAATCATACAGTATGTGCTCTCACTTTGATAGAAACTTAAGCTTAACATAAAGTGCATATCTGTGCTGAGTAAAGCAGACAATACAGGTCTCAGTAATGACAATGTGCATGTCATGATGTAGTACTCCACTACTCCTCATGATGTATCGACATAATTATAAAGTTTGATCACTATAGGACAAGTGTATTAGAGAAATAGAACTAAAGGCAAAGCCTAACCAAGGTCAGTTAAGCAGAAAAATAGGTCGCAGTGACCTACATACACCTCACATGCAGGTGTAATACATGTGAAGATGAATCTGCTTATAAAGTTTGATGAAGATTAATGCATAGTCTAACAAAGATGAGGGACTAGCAGGTCAGCAGAAACAACACCTAATACCCCTCCACTAATGTGGTGCAAGTTTAAAAACTAGTATTCACACATTTTATTGGATACTGCTTTAAAGATATTATCTTTAATCATTTATATTTGTCCCTTGTTCTCCAGTCATCCTTAAGCATGGCTGCTTTTAAACCTCAGAACTCTGTAGCAGGTTTATTTTTCTGATTAAATGTTTATTTCATTCAGTGTTAGGTATCTTTTAACTTTCAAAATATGGTAGAAATATCAAGTTAAAAGATGAGTTTCTGATGTATATATTCAGAAGCCCTGTTACCTGGTACTTTCATGTTGTGTTGTAGAGAGGAGATCATGCTGGCCACAGCACTGTATGAACCACCGGTGGATTTCAAAAAGAGGACAAGCTTTGATTTGAGAAGGATTGTTGAAGATCAGGTTTGTTTTGTATTTTTTTTACACTAAACTTTCAATTATATTAACAAAGTAGAAAAAACACCAGGGAGGGGTTATCATGTATTTAACATTATTGTGTAGTCAATTACATCAGGGCTAAGCTGTTCAGAGCTTGACTAGATTTTCTAATTTGAAACTAGAATATTTAAAAAAAATATTGAAATTCTAAATCAAATTTGTTAGCATTAAGATTCAAATTTTCATCTTATGGCAACAAACACAAAACTATTTGTTTGGTCACCAACGTTTTACTTCTCTAATGTAGATGTAGGTCAGTTATTTGACATAATTCTTAAAAAATATAGTGTCTGCCACAGAAAATGGAGTTATATTTCACAGAATATCATACAATCTATGAAAATCATTTCAATCGAAGAAATTTGATAGACAAAAATCATATAAATCTAATATACGATGTATTGTAAATGTTGCGATGCATGTGGAAAAGTTTTTTGTGTCATGATGGGGAAAGCAGGTAATAATTTCCTGTTGTGATGCAAGTTAACAGTGATAATTATTGATTACAATTTTACCAATGTGTTTGTACTATTGTAGTGGCGTAAGGAGTTACAGACGGAGATGGAGGAGGAGGAACGACAGAGACAGCGAGACCTGGAGGCTAAACACAGGGAGGAAGAGGAAAGGCAAAGATACGTGGCAGAGACACGCGAACAGAAACTGGCTAACAACAAGCGTAGTCCCATACTAGTCGACTCGTCGGACATTTAGGCTGGACACTTGGTGCTCTGGACAGTGAACATCAAACCCAAATGTGTGGAATTGCCTCATTTCTAAGGCCTTCAGCAAAGCTTTGCTCCCAAATTTTTATCTACCCCACTAGTTTTGATGATTCTAAAAAAAAAATTGTAAATTAAGAAAATATTTATTCTGGTCTAGAGCATTGCTTGTTAGAATAAGTAATAACCATCTCTACAGTATGAGGTATTGAAAAGTGGAAATCAACAAAAGGGGTTTTAAGTACAGGCAAAACCAAGAACTGATTGAAAATGTTATTAAACATGTAATAGCCAGTTGTATTTATGTGAATCACCTCTACCTCACCATACTATAGTGCTGCTGCTGAGGACACAATTACACATCTACAGGAGGTGTAGCTAGCTATATATATATGGAATTCCTTTACAGCCAGGATTGTTTGGTTAGTGAGGAATGATGTAGGGGTGCTACCAGCTGTATCCATGAGATTACCATAATTTTGTGATGCTTTGGTACTAAGATATAAATCTACACGATGCACACACATCATGTCTGTTTAGTTTTTCTACAACCTACATGCCACTGGAGCCTCTTATATGTCCTGTAGATAGATGACTGTTTCAGTGATTTGTGCCGCTGGTGACACCTGTGAATTATGTAGTTGCGGCAACTTGTGCCTCTCCGAAGTGGACTCTTTTTCAGTGACTTGTGTTGATGTAGACTTAGCTGGAATGGACCGTTTTGGCAACTCATGTTTCTAGTGCTGTTGGGCTCCTGACTGTAGCAACTTGATTCGGTGGTGTCAATGGTACCATTCCTGGACTGGATGGTTTTGGCAACTTGTGCCACTGGTGCTGCCCCTGAAGCAGACCGATTCAATGACTTGTGTCTCTCCTGGAGTGGACTCCAGGTACTATGTAGTAATATATGCTATCAAGAATTTTTACAACACATCATATTGTTATTATTTCTTTTTTTTCAAGATAACAAAAGGTATTGGTAATTCTCATAAAAAAATAACAAATCATATTGATACATTTACATTTTAAAATGATCTTCGTCTCCTGTCCTATATATATGTTACCAAGGGGTAATACTACAAATTAAAATTGAGTTACATTTTAAATTTTGTTATTTTCAAATTTAAATTTTCAAACCTGACTATGTGATATGATACAGAAACATGTGTGTACTTGGTATATGAAATACAGTAGAGTTTTGATTACCCACTTACAAGTGTATGTATTTACCAAATGTACAACAAGAGAAACTTTTATCACATAAATTTGTATCTTGCTTAATTTATAATGTACATGAATATGTATTTGAGTGTGAGCAATTTCATACAAAATTCTTTATCAAATCATCAGAAAGCTATATACACTAGGTATAAATGTGGGTCAAAACTTACCAACATCTTCCATTAGATATTTAAATACTACTTTTGTTTCTTGAAACATACTGTTTTTTCATGGTCCATGCTTAATTTGAATTTGTTGTATTGAATTACAAGACATATAGACATCAAGGAAAAGTACTATTGTAACAAGTCAGTTACACGATATCTAGATCCTAGGTGTTTATGTGGTGGTTCTCACAGAAATCTTGTTAGTGATGTAATGTATTGTTAACATACTGTTATAACACGTTTACTATGACATGTCAGAAACTTGTTCTTAGTAGAATAGTATGTTGCAAAGAACACATTTGATGCATATAAAATATGTCGCATAGTACGAACAAGTATTGGACCAATATATTTGCTATCTGTGATATATTTATTTTCACTTCTAAACCTCTTTGTTATTGCTCTATGTCGTTATCGTCCTTTGAATTAAGTTTAACAGATGTGAAGTAAATCCGTCCAACAGCTGTAGTTTGTATGCTAGATGTTACTGGCCTTTCATACAAGATATTGTATATGGTATAAAACAAATAAAATATTCATTGTTGTAATTTGAATTCGCTTTTTTTTCTAGTTTCACTGGACAATTACTGGACCATCTGTAAAAACAAACTATTTGTTACATTTTAAATTATTTATTTTCCATTTCATCATAACAGCTTTTTGTGGCTCATATTTTACAAGGGTGAGGTGACTATATTCAACCATATTAATGATTTTTAGGTTACCTGAGCTTTAGCTCAAGTGACCTATTGCTATCTGTCTTCGCCTGTTGTCCGTTAACATTTTACATTTTCAATTTAAGCTGAAATACTGTCAAAGGTATTTCATTGATACTTCATGGGAATGTTGTTATTTTTGAGGTCTATCAGAAATCCAATATGGCCCCTAGGGCTGGCCATTTTGAAAAACTATTTCAAACTTAAAGTAAAGTTCTACTGGGCCAATTTAAATGAAACTTGGTCTAGGAATGATCAACTCATTGTCCTGACAAACTGAACTTAAAAGTTATACTTAACTTTTTTTTACTCAAATTGGTATGGATGATTGACATCATTATCTCCACTAGATATTTCAACAACAGAAATTAATACTGTAGGACTTGGATGACCGTTAAGGCCCATGGGCCTCTTGTTTTGCCACTAATCACAATATAAACAACATTTAACTTCCTGAAATTTTTATTAAATTCATCGAAAGTCAAGGACAACATATAAGTGTCAACAATTATATTGTATGAACTTCTCACTGATGTGTCACATGGAATGTAAGTACAAATGTAAAATCTCAGTAGTGATTGGCCCAGAAATGCACCAACACTTTGAGTATAACAGACTTGTAGAGCATAATTATGAATCTGGTGTGATAATTTGATACTTTCTCATAAACATGCGACTATCTACATTTTGTACACAATATATTTCAGGACCTGACCTTCCCACATTTGTGAGGACATGAGATTGTGTTTCACACATTGTGTAGACTTATGCAAAAAATCAATATACCCATCTAACAGAAAACGTTAGTAACATGCTGTGTACCTTGGTTCCTGCTACAAATCATCAAAAATATCACAGATCTAGAAGTGTGTATAACAATGGAATATAAAAGTAAAAACATTTTGTCTCATGTATGCCTTTAGGCAGATTTACAAATTGCATTTTGAAATTGATTTTTCTTGTCATTATCTAACTTTGGTCTATCTTTAGCGACTGCACTTTTTATACATAATTTTATAATTTAGATGTTGTAATAGATATAAGAGTTACCTGGTAATTTCAAAAAATATAGAAAATAACAGAAAAATATAACATACAAAACAGCAGCATTTTGATGGCATATGACCACTGTAAATGAACATTTGTAATATCTTACATAAATTAATCTTTCTAAACAACAGAAAATTATTTTGAAATGGCAAGACTGACAGTAAATAAGATGACTCATATTTTTTTACTTTGGAGGAAAATACCACAAAGAACTAGCTGGACCTGTAGGCATTTTGAAAGTAAGCATACCAGTGCCATTAACATGTAACATAATATATGGGGACTTTGGAATCTGGTTCCGATAACACAAGTTTCACAAAAGCTTTTTGATATCAATCTTGCTCCCTTCTCTTAAATTTCACACAATTATCTACAATACATGTACATTTGTATAAAATGTATTGTGAAACGTTTTCAACAGTTCAATGACAAATGTAATCAAGTTCATTAAGGAAATCGGCCTCTGTAACAAAATATAGCATTTACTCGTATAATACTGATATTTACATTTTTTTGTTTGAAGCATTAGGTCTGAAATGTCCCCATTTTGACAGACCATAAAAATAAAGCCAAAACAAGCACAAATCACACAAAAGTAATTAATAAATATAGACATTATATTATACAGTTTAATATTGTTTTCTCCGACAATAAAAATATAAAAAAAAATGAGAAAATTGAAATCATTAGGTAGCAGAGTACAGTTGAAATGGCTTGACCCTAAAAATAAAGGGCATGTTTTGGATAAACATGGATAGCGGATTCATCCTGCACAACACACCTACATATTTATATTTATAAACTAAATTTTGAAAACAGGTTTTTTAGAAGATTTTTTTTTTTTCAAAAAGTGATTCCCCAGATTTGGGTCTTGTGAAAACAATGGTTACCACATCAAAAAATGCAAAAAAACATGATTTTTTAACCCAAAATTTGAGCCACGCAAGTAGTAACTTTTTTCTTAAAAACTGTCTTAAATTAAATATCCCTACCTGGTAACAGAAATACTCACGGTTTAGCATAGGTCGTTCAACTGGATTTTTCACAATATTTACACATGTGCTGAGTACAAAAATAGACTACATGAAAAGCTAGCTTTTGTCGTGTAGACACAGAATTGTAAATGGCCAAAAATGTAGTCTCAAGCCAAATTCGTTTTTGTTTTTTTTTAAATGTTAAGCCCACAAAGTCCAATTCATCATGTATATGCCAATTTTAGTGCTGATATTTTGATACATGTAATATTACAGGGGTTATTCATTGTACAAAAATTTCACCCATGGCCACCGTACGCTACTGTACACTGCTACCTTATGATGAAGAAATTCAATGTACAACTTGTATTCAGTCAGGCCCAGAAATTACCTTAGAATTAAATCTAGTACATTGTAATAGAAATGTATGTACCATATTTATCAAATGTGTACATGTAGCTATGCATCATATAAAAGTACAATTAACATATTGACATACCCTGAAAATTGGTTTCAGAAGATTTCTTAAAATCTTACTGATTTCCATCCTAACACATCACATACACAGGATGTTTATTCATCACAAGGTTAAAATATCCCCACCCATGGAGAGTAAAACTAGTTCTGTGGTACATGAGGGTGCAGAAGCAAAGCTATGCTATTTGCAGTCCACAGTTAGTTTGTGGTGATCTTTCATGGGCAATCATAATTTTAAATGGAATAAGCATAAGGGAATAAAAAGCACTTCTTTGTTAAAAATTTCTAGGATATAGAAAACCATAGAAGAGAGCATATTGTGAGTAGTATAATATTAAAAATTGCACAGACTACGTACATGTTATAAAACTGAGGGGAGGTATACTACATCATCTAATTACACTCATGCACACATACAGTGGTAAATTCAGATCTACAGGGTTGTTTTACAACCGATCCCTGTTGTATATATCAAAGGGATTCAAGATATCTAAAGCAGAAAAACCTTAACTTAACTAACCCTGTTTCAAAAATACTAAAGCATCATGAGAAAATATTGTCAAAAACAGAAATGTATAGATCATAAGATGCTGTGTTGGCTCAGGTGTTAAAGTGGAGAGAAATACACCCCTACACCGCCCACATTAAAATCATAAAAATGGTAGAAGCTTACGTAAAACTAATGTCTAAACGTTACAACATGGCATATTGCAAGAATTTAGAATTTTTGCAAATAGTTAAACAAGAAAGCAAATTAACTGACTAGATTAATATTTCTTGGTGTATGAAGGTTTTAAGCACTATAAGCTAACATAACCAACACACAGCTAAACTGTACCATGTACTTGGTGGATATAAATGTGACTATTACATATAGTTTCAATAATTACATATTAAAGTTTAAAAGGTTTCTACAAATCTTTAATAATCTCATTACTTGATGAAGAAAATGATGTCATTTAGCTCCTGAATACATTAGGGGACTACAGAGACAATTCCTTGAGTTAATAGAATCTGGGATGATAAGGTTTCTCTTATCACCCAATAGAGTACTAACCAAGATATTATAAATTATGCATATATACTGTACTACAGATACAGTGACTGTAGGGAAGCATGCTCCTCATCACTCGGTATATTCCTCATGTACTTGGTCCTTAAAAATGGTGGAGATAGTGTATTTTGTGAATACATCAATTAATTGTTGGTGTTAAATGTTTCGATTATAGCGGAGCAACTGTAGCAAGAAATATATCGTTAGCATGTATCTTTAGCAGTATTGGTTCTGTAAGCTTGTAAGGACCCATGAACCTTCCCTCAAATGTCTCAGTAATGTTATAGCCTCCTTCGTTCGTCAAACCAAAGTCCTTCAGTGTAATATTGACTGGGGCAGGCATTCCGTAGATAGATCCATTCAGGATAGAAATGGCATAACTTCCTTTCTCCAGCAGTGCTTTCACCCAGCCTGTAACAATTCCTTGCTGAAAAAAGGTAAAATAGATATATAAATATTTCTACTGATCACTTCATGTAATTTGTGATAACTCATATCTGATCAGTGAAGATTTATATTTTCTTGTAGGGGATAACTACATTTTAAGATATTGAGCATAATATAATTATTTTTAGTGCTACTAATTTTAAACGTGATCACTTTAGTTTGGGAAAATTATTATGATAACAAAGCTTCCTTATTATTGTAACAGGAAGTACCACATCAATAATAAACACCATAAAAGTGAGATTGCAAAATTTCATATACTGGATTAAAAAAATTCCATTAAATATTACATCAGTCCATGGGCGTTTCCACACATTCTCTGCCTGCACGCCAAGTGGGTCCTGATTGATGTCGATGACACGCTTGTTGAGTAGAAGGTTGCGGGATGATGGCTTGATATTCCTCAGGTCGACAGACATGAACAGTGGAGCAGCAAACATGGCCCACATCCCAAACTGTGATCTTTCCTGGCCATCACTTAGACTGTAGTCTCCAACTATTAACTGTCAGTGAAACATAGTGTTATACTAATTACATATTTACATGGCCAACATCCCCAACTGTGATCTTTACTGGCCATCACTTAGACTGTAGAATTAACTGTCAGTGATACATAGTGTTATACTAATTACATATTAACATGGCCCACATCCCCAACTGTGAAATTTATTGGCCATCACTTAGACTGCAGAATTAACTGTCAGTGATACATAGTGTTATACTAATTACATATTAACATGGCCCACATCCCCAACTGTGAAATTTATTGGCCATCACTTAGACTGCAGAATTAACTGTCAGTGATACATAGTGTTATACTAATTACATATTTACATGGCCCCCATCCCCAACTGCGATCTTTACTGGCCGTCACTTAGACTGTAGTCTCCAACAATTAACTGTCAGGGATACATAGTGTTATACTAATTACATATTAACATGGCCCACATCCCCAACTGTGAAATTTATTGGCCATCACTTAGACTGCAGAATTAACTGTCAGTGATACATAATGTTATACTAATTATATATTTTCATGGCCCACATCCCCAACTATGATCTTTACTGGCCATCACTTAGACTGTAGAATTAACTGTCAGTGATACATAGTGTTATACTAATTACATATTAACATGGCCCACATCCTCAACTGTGAAATTTATTGGCCATCACTTAGACTGCAGAATTAACTGTCAGTGATACATAATGTTATACTAATTATATATTTTCATGGCCCACATCCCCAACTGTGATCTTTACTGGCCATCACTTAGACTGTAGTCTCCAACAATTAACTGTCAGTGAAACATAGTGTTATATTAATTACATATTTACATGGCCCACATCCCCAACTATGATCTTTACTGGCCATCACTTAGACTGTAGTCTCAAACAATTAACTGCCAGTCATACAAAGTGTTATACAAATTACATATTTACATGGCCCACATCCCAAACTGTGATCTTTACTGGCCGTCACTTAGACTGTAGAATTAATCTCAGTGATACATCGTGATATACTAATAACATGTTTACATGGCCCACATCCCCAACTGTGATCTTTACTGGCCGTCACTTAGACTGTAGAATTAAATGTCAGTGATACATAGTGTTATACTAATTATATATTTACATAGCCCACATCCCAAACTGTGATCTTTACTGGCCATCACTTAGACTGTAGAATTAATTTCAGTGATACATAGTGTTATACTAATTACATATTTACATGGCCCACATCCCAAACTGTGATCTTTACTGGCCATCACTTAGACTGCAGAATTAACTGTCAGTGATACATAGTGTTATATTAATTACATATTTACATGGCCCACATCCCCAACTGTGATCCTTCCTGGCCATCACTTAGACTGTAGAATTAACTGTCAGTGATACATAGTGTTATATTAATTACATATTTACATGGCCCACATCCCCAACTGTGATCTTTACTGCCCGTCACTTAGACTGTAGTCTCCAACAATTACAACTGTCAGTGATACATAGTGTTAATACTTAATACATATTTACCATGTGAAATTTAAGGTTTGAACAAGTATTGTTTTTCAAAACATTTTCACCTGTGAAGTGCAAGTTTTCACTGTGAAACATGAGTATTTAATCAAATATCTATATTACAATAAAAAAACAAAATCACTTTAAAGAGTGTTATTGACAGTAACATAAACATAGTTGACTTATTTTTGCTACAGATATTTGTAAGAGATTTGTATTAACATGTGACCCCCACCACAGCACAAATTTATATGAAAAGTTACATGGAACAAAATAAATTGACTTATGGTAAAACAAAATTGTGTCCTAACTCCAACCATGTATTAACCTATGAAGTATTCTACAACCAATCTGTTCATTAGGTAGATTTACATAGCGTGCATGCAATCTAAGTGTAAAAATTAACTTTGTTTAACAATGAATTTAATCTGAAAACATTAGTTTCATAATTATTGTAAAATAAATAGTTTTTATTTTTTTTACGAAATATTATATGACATTGATACCTCGTCAGGGTCATTCCAGTGTCCAGGGCCTGCGACCTTGGAGAAGTCGTACAGGTCTAGACTATAGAACTCTATCACGTTGTAGACTCGCTCCCAGCTGTCTGTGATGTCAATGGCGTTCCTCCAGGAGTTACACAGTTTCGCCACTCCCACATAATCAGAAAACTGGAAAATAATGTAATTATAAGATTTCAGTTTATCAAGTTTTACGATTCTAAACTAAGAAATCAAAGTATATAGCTTTACTTAATCTTCAAATCTTATAGCACACTGGCTTTTACTTGTTAGTTTCAACACATATTTTCTTCGAGGTGAATTTTAATTTGTGGTACATGCTTTTATTCAACTGATCACATATCAATCTGGATTTTTTTTTAGCAATCATCAGTCTAATGTATGAAATTTACAACTGCATGCGACGCAACAAACTTTAAACTTTAAATTAGCGAAACTCTCATTCTTACTTCATAATGTACTTACCAACTTTCCAATACAAGCAGGATAACTACAAGAAAATGCAATAGGTCTCCCTGTCTGATTTAGGAAAGATCCCATCACTTCATATCCTGGAACAAAAGGTACACTTATAATCATGTAACTCCATCATCTCAGTAAATTGTGTCACAGATCATAAAGTCAGGGTTACAGACAAAGTGGATTATTATTCTGGGGCCATTTAATCATGCATGTTAGATATTTAAGGAAGCTGATAAAAACAGGTGTCAGTAAAGTTAGGTTGAATAATAAAATGAACATCAGCTGGGCCTTTTGATTATACAGAATAAGTTGCTTAAATGTTTCAACATATTTGACTTCAGTGACCTTGAAAGAGAGTCAAAGCTATTCATTTGAAAACATTTGGTAGCCTTAAGTCTATTATGCTATTTGCAAAATATCAGCATCCTGGGTTATTGAGAAGATGTGGTTTAAAGAAAAAGTTGCCGCCTGACGGACAGACGATGCACCACAGCATAAGCTCACCTGGACGGAACTAATAACCACTTAAAACAATTTAACTGCTCTTCAGTAATTTACAGGAAATACAAGCTATTCCGATTGATATGTCTCACCTATGACCATCAATGCACATATCAGAGAAACTAACTTAAACACAAACACTTAATGTTGATGGAGATGCTGACAAAGTCAATGGACCATGAAAGGTAGGCCGCATCCAACATTTGATACATGGGTTGAGATGCACTACCGAAAATGCATCTATGTTCCAAATTTGGTTGGTCTAGCATTTGTACTTTCAGTGAAACTAACTTAAACACAAACACTTTATATTAAGGTGGAAAAGTAACACCTGGTCCGTCTCGCCTCTAACTTTGGCACTTTGCAGCACATGAACAAAGTGAACCAGGTTTTTGTCATTATACAGAATTTGTTAACAACTGGAGTTTGTATACACTACATACCTGTTATCATGTCGGACCCACCCTCACAACAATCCATCTTGAGCATGTCCACTCCCCATTCTTTGAGACTGAGAGCATCCCTCTGGATGAAGAATTTACTACCTGGGTAACCCTTACAGGTCCTTAAACCCATGTCTAGGTAGATCCCTAGCTTCAGACCTTTAGAATGAACCTGTCGAAACAAATGGAATTTAGTGAAGGCATCATAGCTTAGATATTCCTGCAGAATATAAACAGACTGAAAGTATGGACAAGCCATCAGATTACATCAATCTAGTCTATTTAGTGTTATCAATCAACGTTTAAACAGCAGCAGAGAGGTCGTCTAATTGGCTCTGGTGGAGGAGAGACGACAGAGCTGGATGCCATCCACCGACAGGCAGTGATTTGGCCAATCACTGTCGCCTCGCCACCTTTAGGGCGTTCCAGGATAGGAGTCCGAACGCCCCATGAGTGGTGGTCCTGGCTGATGACGTCAGTGGATATTGCAATCAAGCTATTGTATGAAGGTACTTAAAGGTACATGTAAATTATTTGTATTACTCTATAACGCAGTCAAATTATCAAATGATTTCAGATCTTCATGTACCTCATCTTCAAGGAGTGTCATATGAATTATTTCTTTATGGTCTATAATTAGATGTAAAATGTATCTTTACTAAATCTTGATGTGCAGGAGATTATACAAGACTTTAATACCCTTCCAACCAAAAAGATATACAACCTTTAAGGCATTGTATTTATGTTTCCTTTGATAAACATACCAACTAAAAAGGTTGTTAAAATCCAATAACAACAAGGACAATAGCAAGTGAACGTTTTCCAATCAGACACTGTTTTGATCTTTCCAACAAACTATTTGAGTAATCAGGACCAATCATGACATGACGCAAAATTCAAATTAGGAATGAAATTTCTGATTGTTTCTGACTGACATTCAGCACCTGACAGAACTAGTAGCAATAGAAAGCCTGATCTTGTTCCTGTGAAAATGGCTTTTATGTGAATTGGTATAGCAGTTTGTTTAAAATGTATTTTAAATCCAAGGACACTTCAATGACGATAAAATGATATCATCTTTGTTGTTTTTAATGTAAATATAAGGAATGAAATGCATGTTTTTTAACATTTATGATAGCAAAAAACACAAGTTTCATTCAAACATATGCTATAATGCGCGCTTGCTCATCGTGAAATATGTTTCAACATAACTATGTTTCATATAACATAACCATTAAAAAGATGCAGTTCAATCCTTAAATAATAGAATACATCATCCTAGTTATCACAATCAACATTGACCACACACTGAAGCTGTCATGCAGTGTTAAATAACCATGAAATAAAGTTTTGAAATGTAACATCACCTACTATTTATAAATGCCACATGGAACATTGAGATAAATATACTATTAACTTATTTCTCTTACAAAAATTATCTATCAACTTTTATCAACTGAATTTAAATCACTTTTGTTGGCCTGGATGGAAGGGCACCATAATGTGGGAGGAAATCAGAGCATATGCTACCATACCTTTTCACATCCAATTCAGAAATCTAAACCGGGCTGTCTTAGTGAAAGGTGAGTGTGCTATACATTTCAATGTCTGACCTCCCTGAGATAGCGTCACCACTTTGCAACAAAGGCAAACATGGTGGCACTTTATTTTGGTTTCCTGCTCGAAGTTATTTGTTGACAAAAATTAAAGGTAACTTTGTAGAACATGTGATAGAAAGAATCCCATATAAAACTTGTTATATAAAATCCCTTGAAATGGGAACAGATTTGAGATTCTCTTAACATTGGCAAGTCTTTGATAATTGATAGTCAAGTGATGACCAATAGATTGTGACTACAATGATCAAAGGGTAATACATACATAATCAGCCAAGTATTTCATTCCGTGTGGGAACCTGTCCTTGTCAGGCTGCAAGATTCCCTGTGAGTCCCTCTGCTTACTCATCCAGCAGTCGTCCAAAGAAATGTAGCTAAAGCCAGCCTCCTTGTAGCCATCTTTTTCCATTCTGTTGGCAATCTCCATTATCAATTCCTCACTGAAATGTTTACAATTTAACCAGAAAATATATAATGAGCTGATAAAAGGCTAAACATAATAATTAACTCCTCAAGAAAAGATGCCAATAAAATATCAACAATATGCATAATAAAGAAATATATTTTACTTTTAAATTACGCTCTGAAAAGATTTTCTCAAAATCAACATGCCAAGTATGTATAATATAATGAATCAATATAAATACATGAAAGAGAAAATTGTCCTTCAATTTATATTAGCAATTTTTTAATGAATATTACCAGGTACACAATTTTAATTTGATAAACAAAGGTTGTAGCAATAATATGTATGATTATTTTATGTCTGGTGAATTTACCTGATACAGTTCTTTGGGTCATTCTTACAGTCCAAGTTACATCTGAACCTTTCCCACTGCATCCAGCCCATGGGAGGAGTTAAGGCTAACCCATTGTTTAAACACCTGACAACAGGTACCAGGAACACCAGGACAAACAGATTAAAAAATTCCATGGCAGCCCCCGAACTACAAACAGAAACATAATCACTGCATGATCTCTTTTGATATATAGACCTACTTATAGCTGTCTGTCAGTCTTCATCATGTTTTTTGCACATGTCTGGATTTTAATTGCCAACAAGGAAGTATTTCCCCCTCTTATTCCTTGGCCAACACTCTATTCCCCCCTCCCAGAAGTCTTGTCTCAAGACTTTGTGAGGGAACCCTGTGGGTCCTCCTTGTGTATCAATGTACCTTCTCTACTCAATGGGAACTGGCCTTACAAGGCACCCCCTGATCCCACAGTAACGCTGGTTCAACCAAATGTAAAGAGTGGCCACACTCTATGTTGCTGAACTAGTTGGTGATTCCTGCGGTCATACCTCATTGTTGGAAAAGCTAGCTTTTCAGGAAGGTAGAATCCCCCTCTTATTCCTTGACTTTTACAATTGTAACAAGCACTTATCCAGATCATGTACCATGCCATACATGCATTAATTGGAGTCTCATTCTATAATCAAGGTCACAATTGGAGGTCAATATTTTACTTTTTTTTAAGAGCCATCTACTTCACTTACTAATCCTAGCTACTTGTACTATTGTTTAAGGAAGCTGATTATATAAAAACTTAGCAGAGTCCATTCATGACTATATTCCCAATAATCTTGACAAAATATATCAAACTGATTGCTTATATTTATTGTCATTTTCTTCATCACTACCTGAGTATTATGCATTTTGTCTGTTACAAGTAGCTAGCTATTTGATTGGTGACAGGTTAAAAAAACTGACCAATCACTATGCTGATACATGTTCTTTGAAGATAACAAAGGAGAGACATGCAACTTCAAAGACACTAAATTTTATTGTTACAATGTTACCTGCAGGGATCTGGATTCTTTTGTTGCCTTTTACCAGTTTATAGTTCATACCAGTACGGCCTCATTCTTTTATCGCGATCCAAACAGTTGAATCGTTTGAACCAGAAGAGGGGGGGAGGGGGGGCAGCTGAAAAGGCTCTCTTCACATCTTCGAGACCTGCACTGTTAATGTCTAAGATACATACATAGCTATAAGAATACAAACCGCATCTATGGTGACAGTACACAAATCGGATCACCAAACCAGTTAAAAACAAATCATTAGTTAAAAAAAAATGGTGCATGGCTATCTATTCTAAGATTACATCATTGTTATAACTGATTTGGTGACACATTTATTGATTTACAAGTATTTTTGCAAAATGTAATCCAATTTGGGTACTGATCCGATTTGGGTACTGCCACCTTACCTATAGACTTATGCAGTTATGCTGTTATGTGCCTAGCAGTCAGTCACTTCAGTCAGCTGCCGGAAGTTTACAATATTCTGGTCAGTATAAATTGCAGATTTTATGTCGAAACAGACATGTATGTCAACAAATTAAAACTAATCAGTTGACTCAAATAAAGACTTATTTTATTACATAATTGTGTATTTATATAATTTCTATAATAAACCCAACTGTTGTTTTGAATTTTGCGCATTACTATTTAATTGTACATATGGTTTTCCGCTATTTTCTTAAACACTAAATTTGGTCACATGACTTTGTGGACGCACATGACTTGTGATGAAAATAACAGAGCTGTGCATGTGACCGACAATCTACTGTAGAGTAAGGTAAAATAATACTGTACCTTGCTGTACCTTGTATTTAGAAATATCAATGTATAGATATTCTGACTGAACTAGTATCATATTTATTGATTGGCTATCGTCTGCATGTGGGTATATATTGAAAGTAAGTTAGACAGAATCCTGGTAATAAACATTCACTGTACGGCGTACGCCGGTACGGCACCTCCCCAACTTTCCTATTTATCATTACCGGTAAGTGAGTATCCATAACCTTTCACGTACATTGTATATATTGCTGCGACATCGTCATTAACACTGACTAATTAACAACTATTTTTTTTAGTAGTTTAATATCTTGTATCCTAGTAGATCTAGAGAAGACAGGGTCATAAAGATATAAAGGGAGATAACTTAATTTTGCAATCTCTACCCAGAGTTTTGCTGATATAAACTAAATTAGTAATTTCTAATGTTTTCATGTGGACTTTTTTTTGTTGCTTACAGCATATGTATATGTATTAAGGACTACATCAGCTAAGATCTTATTATAGGAAAATTAACAAAATACTAACTTAAATTTATTAATAATAATAATAATAATAATAATATATTTATTCAGGTAAAATGCAAATAATACACTTCTATCACATTTTGCATATTGGACATAAATATATATATATTATCACAGAATGAGAACGATTATCATCAATTAATAAGGAAATTTCTTTCTAGAAACCTGGACAATTACCAAAACAACACATCTTAGCCATAATGCAGCTTTCTTGTGCCTTCCTTCTGCTGTCATTAGGCAGCCTCTACAATCTAGGACAGGTGGTGGTGGCTCTGGACAACGGCCTTGCCCTCACCCCACCCATGGGCTGGATGCACTGGGAGAGATTCAGATGTATAACCAACTGCACTGAACAACCCAATGATTGCTTGACGTAAATAAGAATTTTATATCTTGTCAGGAAAACAAAATAAGATTCACGAGATGAGTGCAATTTGTGAATTGCATATACTGTACATGATAGTCTATAATTATTATTAATGATGTTTTGAACTTTATTAGAATGTTGAAAAAAGTGTTTAAAAGCATAATATATAAAATTCATTTATATAAATATAAGAAAGCTATATACGAAAGTGATAATACATAAAGCTTCAAACCTTCATTACCTAAAAAAAACTTTGTGTCAATATCATAAAGACACTTGAGATTCATCTGCTCAAAATAATAAAAAAAAAAATAATAATAAGTTTACACTTTTCAAGTAAGGCGGTCAATTATGGTAAAAGGAAGCGACTCTCAGACCAGAGGAATAATATGGGGCACTTATAAGAAATGGTGTCTTATTAGGTCAAATATGATATTGGTGTTATTTAATAGTTACCTTTCTATGTATTTTTTTTTTTTGTGTAATATTAAAATACTTTATATACCTGTAGTAATATCTTTATGATATTATAATAACAAGTAGACCTATTACTTGTACACTATTAGGAATCTTTTAATTGCATAACTAAATGGAAAATAATTGCAAGCATTCAATTGACTGTATAGGGAAGACCTTATCAAGAGTCAGGCTGACAAGATGGTGTCGGAGGGCTACCGTGATGCTGGTTACGTGTACCTGTCCATTGACGACTGCTGGATGGCCAAGGAGAGGGACAGTAACGGGGCTCTAGTAGCAGACCCTGTCCGGTTTCCTAATGGCATCAAGGCTCTGGCTGACTATGTATGTCTGGGGACAATTAGCACTATCGTGTTAATAGAAGTGATTTTAACATGTGTTACACCAAGGCTAAAACATTGGACCCTTTGGTTTCTGAATTGTCTTTCATTTAAATGATGCAGCCGTATATTGCCCATATACATTATGTTTGTGAATAGTTTTTATCAAGTGTCACTTTAATCCTGTATTTAGAAGATTTTTTTTTTACATCTGACATTCATCATAGGTTTTGTTGAAGATTTTCAAAACTGTGAAACTTTTAACTGAAGAGTGTTTTTTTCGTTTAAAAATGATCAATTAAAGACAAAATATAATTATGATAAACAAAGTGATTTACTTCTGTGTACAAATGATTAATAGGTGCTACAAAGCTTAACCAAACAAGAAAAGGAATATTAAAAGACTTTGCAAATGTGAATTGTTCTTGTAGTAAGGTATGTTTTGTTGGTAGCTTCACAACAAGGGTCTGAAGTTAGGGATCTACGAGGACTTTGGTAAGGAAACATGCCAGGGCTACCCAGGAAGTGAGTTCTACTTGGGATTGGATGCCAAGACATTTGCTAGCTGGGGTGTCGATCTCCTCAAACTGGACGGCTGTAACTCTGATGTCAACGACATGAAAGATGGTAGGGTATTTCTATTTATAGCTGACATTTGAAAGAGTTATCTGTCTTCATATCTGATACCCTGTCATCCCACAGAACAAAGTTATAAAATACAATGTACTAATAAAAAGTAATCAGACTTTTGATGTTTATTTGTTATATTGTATGAATCGTCGTCCTATACTTTACGTTAATGTTATATAACTGTTATGTTGTAGGATATCAAGCCATGGGTGGATTCCTCCACAGAACTGATCGTCCTATACTTTACGTTAATGTTATATAACTGTTATGTTGTAGGATATCAAGCCATGGGTGGATTCCTCCACAGAACTGATCGTCCTATACTTTACGTTAATGTTATGTAACTGTTATGTTGTAGGATATGAAGCCATGGGTAGATTCCTCCACAGAACTGGTCGTCCTATACTTTACGTTAATGTTATGTAACTGTTATGTTGTAGGATATGAAGCCATGGGTAGATTCCTCCACAGAACAGGTCGTCCTATACTTTACGTTAATGTTATATAACTGTTATGTTGTAGGATATGAAGCCATGGGTGGATTCCTCCACAGAACTGATCGTCCTATACTTTACGTTAATGTTATGTAACTGTTATGTTGTAGGATATGAAGCCATGGGTAGATTCCTCCACAGAACAGGTCGTCCTATACTTTACGTTAATGTTATGTAACTGTTATGTTGTAGGATATGAAGCCATGGGTGGATTCCTCCACAGAACAGGTCGTCCTATACTTTACGTTAATGTTATATAACTGTTATGTTGTAGGATATGAAGCCATGGGTGGATTCCTCCACAGAACTGATCGTCCTATACTTTACGTTAATGTTATGTAACTGTTATGTTGTAGGATATGAAGCCATGGGTGGATTCCTCCACAGAACAGGTCGTCCTATACTTTACGTTAATGTTATATAACTGTTATGTTGTAGGATATGAAGCCATGGGTGGATTCCTCCACAGAACTGGTCGTCCTATACTTTACGTTAATGTTATATAACTGTTATGTTGTAGGATATGAAGCCATGGGTGGATTCCTCCACAGAACTGGTCGTCCTATACTTTACGTTAATGTTATGTAACTGTTATGTTGTAGGATATGAAGCCATGGGTGGATTCCTCCACAGAACTGATCGTCCTATACTTTACGTTAATGTTATGTAACTGTTATGTTGTAGGATATGAAGCCATGGGTAGATTCCTCCACAGAACAGGTCGTCCTATACTTTACGTTAATGTTATGTAACTGTTATGTTGTAGGATATGAAGCCATGGGTGGATTCCTCCACAGAACTGATCGTCCTATACTTTACGTTAATGTTATGTAACTGTTATGTTGTAGGATATGAAGCCATGGGTAGATTCCTCCACAGAACAGGTCGTCCTATACTTTACGTTAATGTTATGTAACTGTTATGTTGTAGGATATGAAGCCATGGGTGGATTCCTCCACAGAACTGATCGTCCTATACTTTACGTTAATGTTATGTAACTGTTATGTTGTAGGATATGAAGCCATGGGTAGATTCCTCCACAGAACAGGTCGTCCTATACTTTACGTTAATGTTATGTAACTGTTATGTTGTAGGATATGAAGCCATGGGTGGATTCCTCCACAGAACTGATCGTCCTATACTTTACGTTAATGTTATGTAACTGTTATGTTGTAGGATATGAAGCCATGGGTAGATTCCTCCACAGAACAGGTCGTCCTATACTTTACATTAATGTTATGTAACTGTTATGTTGTAGGATATGAAGCCATGGGTAGCTTCCTCCACAGAACAGGTCGTCCTATACTTTACATTAATGTTATATAACTGTTATGTTGTAGGATATGAAGCTGTGGGTAGATTCCTCCACTGAACAGGTCGTCCTATACTTTACGTTAATGTTATATAACTGCTATGTTGTAGGATATGAAGCCTTGGGTGGATTCCTCCACAGAACAGGTCGTCCTATACTTTACCTTAATGTTATATAACTGTTATGTTGTAGGATATGAAGCTGTGGGTGGATTCCTCCACAGAACAGGTCGTCCTATACTTTACATTAATGTTATGTAACTGTTATGTTGTAGGATATGAAGCCATGGGTAGATTCCTCCACAGAACTGGTCGTCCTATACTTTACATTAATGTTATATAACTGTTATGTTGTAGGATATGAAGCCATGGGTGGATTCCTCCACAGAACAGGCCGTCCTATGCTTTACGTTAATGTTATATAACTGTTATGTTGTAGGATATGAAGCTGTGGGTAGATTCCTCCACAGAACTGATCGTCCTATACTTTACATTAATGTTATATAACTGTTATGTTGTAGGATATGAAGCCATGGGTGGATTCCTCAACAGAACTGGTCGTCCTATACTTTACCTGTGCTCCTGGCCAGCCTATGTACAGAAAAATGCAGCTTTGGTAAATACAATGTTACTCTGATTTAATGGTAACAAGAGCTAAGATACATGATTGTTCTCAAGTGAGAGACCTATCAGGTCCTTCCGTCATACTTTCAGGGAATTTTATATAAGCGTTAAGAAGTAATTAAATCAGATTAGTACAGTATGTTGTTGACACGTAATCAAAGGGTTGTTATTTCAATATTTTCATTCATCCTGGATTGTTATGGCACAATATTTCAACCAGATGACTCACTATTTCAGTCTGACTACCCAGCGTTTCAGAAGACCTGTAACCAGTGGAGGAACTTTGATGATATCCAGGACTCGTGGGACTCGGTGTACAGTATTATTGACTACTACGGATCAAACCAGTATAACCTGACCGCCTTTGCTGGACCTGGGTCCTGGAACGACCCAGACGAGGTACATCCTCTTCATATACACCTATCACAAAATGTCCGATAAGTTTTTGATGTAAAAAGTAAATAAAGAGGACCTGAAGTTCTAATGTAAATCTTAACAAGGAAAAGATTTTTTCTCTGATGTAAAACTGAATAAGGAGGAGATTCAATCAGTCGTAATTCAGAGATGAAAATGTTCAGCCTATTGTAGGATTTTGATGTAAAACTAAACATGGGAGAGGTGAAGGTCACGATTAACTTTGTAGTAAATGATCAATATGTTTAGGTCAAGTGACCTATTCTAATCGCTTTTCGTCCGTCTTCGTCCGTCGTGTGTAAACTTTTTACATTTTCAACTTCTTCTCAAGAACCAGTGGATGGATTTTTTTCAAACTTGGTCAGAATCATCCTTGGTAGATGAGGCTACAAAATTGTAAAATTGGAATTCCTACCACAACCCCTGGGGCCAGGGCGGGGCCCCAAAGGGAAAATTTACCAATATTTCAAAAATCTTCTTCTCCAGACTCAGAGGTACTACAGTCATTTTCTCTGCATGGAAAGAAAGATAATCAGGGGCTTTACTTAAATTGTTAATTTCAGGACCCCCAAGCTATTCGTTCTCCCTTGGGGAGGGGGTAAAGTTTACTATAGTTTATATAGGGAAATAACACTTTTGGGTATATTTTGACAAATTTCTGTAGGAAATTATTTTTACTTGGTGAGAATTATCCTTGGAGGAAGATGGTTTCAAATTGTAAAATTGCGATTCCTACCCCAAACCCTGGGGCCAGGGTGGGGCCCCAAAGGAAAAATTTACCAATATTTCCAAAATGTTCTTCTCCAGACTCAGAGGTACTACATTCATTTTCTCTGCATGGTAAGAAAATCATCAGGGGCTTTATTTAAATTGTAAATTTCGGGACCCCCGAGCTATTCATTCTCCCTTGGGGAGGGGGTTAAGTTTACTATAGTTTATATAGGGAAATAACACTTTTAGGTATGTTTTATCCATTTTCAGTAGAAAATTACTCAAACTTAGTCAGAATCATCTGTGGTGAATGAGAGTATTACTTTGTAAAATTGGGATTGGGGGCCCCAAAGGGAACATTTACCAATATTTTCAAATTCTTATCCTTTGATGACATGAAAAGTATTGTATTTCACTTAATTTACATGCTGATTTCCACATCACATCTAAACAATAAAATAATGCTTCCAGTACCTATGATATAACTCAGGTGACCGCAAAGGCCCTTGGGCCTCTTGTTGAGAATTCGAGCTTCAACAATGTCTGTTATACTTTTGTAACTTGGCTAGATTACTTGATAATATTCAAGTAAAATACCTATCTGACCAAGGACTCAAAAATTTATTATATCTGTCAATGGTTACATTTCCTGGCTGTTACTTCCGTGCAAATTACTGGAATAGCCATCAGTATAAAATAACATCATTGCCAAGCTATTAGCTGTAAACATTCATTGTTGTAGTCGATAGTTATAAAATGACATCATAGCCAAGCTATTAGCTGTAAACATTCAGTGTTGTAGTTGATAGTTATAAAATGACATCATTGCCAAGCCATTAGCTGTAAACATTCAATGTTGTAGTTGACAGTTATAAAATGACATCAATGCCAAGCTATTAGCTGTAAACATTCAATGTTGTAGTTGACAGTTATAAAATGACATCAATGCCAAGCTATTAGCTGTAAACATTCAATGTTGTAGTTGATAGTTATAAAATGCCATCATTGCCAAGCTATTAGCTGTAAACATTCAATGTTGTAGTTGACAGTTATACAAAGACATCATAGCCAAACTATTAGCTGTAAACATTCAATGGTATAGTTGATAGTTATAAAATAACATCATTGCAAAACTATTAGCTGTAAACATTCAATGTTGTTGTTGATAGTTATAAAATAACATCAATGCCAAACTATTAGCTGTAAACATTCAATGTTGTAGTTGATAGTTATAGTGATAGTTATAAAATGACATCATAGCCAAGCTATTAGCTGTAAACATTCAATGTTGTAGTTGATAGTTATAAAATGACATAATTGCCAAGTTATCAGCTGTAAACATTCATTGTTGTAGTTGATAGTTATAAAATGACATCAAGCTATTAGCTGTAAACATTCAATGTTGTAGTTGATAGTTATACAAAGACATCATTGCTAAGGTATTAGCTGTAAACATTCAATGTTGTAGGTGATAGTTATAGTGATAGTTATACAATGACATCATAGCCAAGCTATTAGCTATAAACATTCAATGTTGTAGGTGATAGTTATAGTGATAGTTATACAATGACATCATAGCCAAGCTATTAGCTATAAACATTCAATGTTGTAGGTGATAGTTATAGTGATAGTTATACAATGACATCATAGCCAAGCTATTAGCTATAAACATTCAATGTTGTAGGTGATAGTTATAGTGATAGTTATACAATGACATCATAGCCAAGCTATTAGCTATAAACATTCAATGTTGTAGGGGATAGGTATAAAATGACATCATAGCCAAGCTATTAGCTGTAAACATTCAATGTTGTAGTTGATAGTTATAGTGATAGTTATAAAATGACATCATAGCCAAGCTATTAGCTGTAAACATATAATGTTGTAGTTGATAGTTATACAAAGACATCATTGCTAAGGTATTAGCTGTAAACATTCAATGTTGTAGTTGATAGTTATAGAATGACATCAAAGCTAAGCTGTTAGCTGTAAACATTCAATGTTGTAGTTGATCGTTATAGAATGACATCAAAGCTAAGCTATTAGCTGTAAACATTCAATGTTGTAGTTGATCGTTATAGAATGACATCAAAGCTAAGCTATTAGCTGTAAACATTCAATGTTGTAGTTGATAGTTATGAAATGACATCATTGCTAAGCTATTAGCTGTAAACATTCAATGTTGTAGTTGATCGTTATAGAATGACATCAAAGCTAAGCTATTAGCTGTAAACATTCAATGTTGTAGTTGATAGTTATAAAATGACATCAATGCCAAGCTATTAGCTGTAAACATTCAATGTTGTAGTTGATCGTTATAGAATGACATCAAAGCTAAGCTATTAGCTGTAAACATTCAATGTTGTAGTTGATCGTTATAGAATGACATCAAAGCTAAGCTATTAGCTGTAAACATTCAATGTTGTAGCTGATAGTTATAAAATAACATCATTGCCAAACTATTAGCTGTAAACATTCAATGTTGTATTTGATAGTTATGAAATGACATCATTGCTAAGCTATTAGCTGTAAACATTCAATGTTGTAGCTGATAGTTATAAAATATCATCATTGCCAAACTATTAGCTGTAAACATTCAATGTTGTATTTGATAGTTATGAAATGACATCATTGCTAAGCTATTAGCTGTAAACATTCAATGTTGTAGTTGATCGTTATAGAATGACATCAAAGCTAAGCTATTAGCTGTAAACATTCAATGTTGTAGTTGATCGTGGGAGGTTTCGGTCTGAGTCCTAACCAGGAGATGGTACACATGGGGATGTGGGCTATGATGGCGTCCCCCCTGTTTATGTCCCTGGATCTCCGTAACGTCAGACCAGAGTCCAAGGCACTTCTCCTTAACAAGAACCTCCTCACCATCAATCAGGACCCTCTGGGGAAACAGGGTCAACGACTTTGGAAGGTTGGTCCTTAGATTTCTAAAGGATTTCACTTTTGGCCATAACAGTGGTGTATGATTTTAGTGTCTTATCACCACAATAGATTATATGTATGGTTGTCCATTATTTCATGAATGCATAAGACTATCATGTTTTCACAACTGCAAAACTAGAGTGACAATATTGGAAATAATCTGCCATTCATAATGTATCCCCAGGTTTATGGTATTCAACAGAATCAATTCAATTTTCAAAAAATGTTTACATTTTGGGGACTCTAAAACCACTTTTTAGGTTAAAAAAATCTATCTTAAGGATGTACAAGTTATGATGTTATGGAATAAGGATGTACAGTCTTTGCACGTTTTGATCACCTGATATAATAGGTACAAATTAAACCTACCAAAAGTGGGTGCATGGCTAAAACAAATTAATTAACTTTATGTTGCAGATTAACAAAGCAGAAGTGTGGAACAAACCTTTATCTAAACCGGGTGTGTCAGCACTGGCCATTATAAACACTGACAACCAAGGTGCCCCGAGGGTGTTCCATCTTTCTCCATCAGAATTAGGACTACCACAGGCTGCCAAGTACAACATGACTGATGTGTTCACAAACAAACACTACGGACCTTTCATGTATAACCAGTCCATACAGTTCACAATCGATCCTACCAGTATATTCATGGCCATTGCTGATCCCTCTTAATACTCCACAAATGTAATAGTCATTTTCCTGTTGTAACATCAACCCTAGCTTCCTTTGTGACCTCTGACATCTAGAAATCTTACTGAATTTGATGTGACCTCTGTTGTGGGTCCTAACATCCCCTTGAATGTCTTCTGGTAACTACCTTTGACTAAAACTATTTTCTGTAACTGTCATCAACCTTAGTGTTCTTTTGTAGCCTCTGAAAGAACCACTGTAATTCACATCTTTTCCCGCTCCATGTTTTTTTCTCATGAATTATGCCTTTAGGATTTAATATTGTGGTAACTTGAACTCACTGTAATAAGATGCTATTTGAACATCAATATTAAATTATCTGTGAAATTAACACAGGTGTATTCTCAAAAGATTTAAATTGGACTAACTGCAAATCAACACCAAAATGAATCTTTTGCAAAATTGAAATTATTTAAAACCTAGGAGTTGTAAAGCAGGTCTTTCAATTTTGAATTATAAAGAAAAACACATTCCAAAAGGTACCAATACCTCTTTTTTGTGCGTAATATTGGGGATATTTAATGCGAATTTACTTGTCAGAAATGGCAATTTATGTTCATAATTATTTATACTCTCCACACAATGGAGGGGAGTATGGAGCAATTGCTTTGTGTGTCTGTGTGTCAGTACATCTGGGTGTCAGTACATCTGTGTGTCTGTATGTCTGTATGTCTGTGTGTCTGTATGTGTGTGTGTCCGTCTGTATGTCTGTGTGTCAGTACATATGTGTGTCTGTATGTATGTGTGTCCGTCTGTATGTCTGTGTGTCTGTACGTCTGTGTGTCTGTGTGTCTGTATGTCTGTACATCTGTGTGTCTGTATGTCTGTGTGTGTGTGTGTGTGTGTGTATGTCTGTGTGTGTGTGTGTCTGTGTGTCTGTACGTCTGTGTGTCTGTATGTCTGTGTGTGTGTGTGTCTGTGTGTCTACATCTGTGTGTCTGTATGTCTGTGTGTCTGTAGTAAAAATACTTGTGTGCGTGATATCATATTAACCCCTCAACAGATACAATTCGTATCTACACCATAGTATGGTAATATCAAGTTCTACACCTGATTTGATTTTGGTGGTCATCGGTGAAGTTAAAGGCCAAACTCGACCAGTTTTGAAATATAAAGCTTGTGTACAAGATATCTCACAAACTCCTCAACATATTATAGTGTGTTAAAGTAAAGGATACCAGCAAGTTAATCTGTCACTGTTGTTGTGATGATTCTACCATTATTACCTGGTGTATTGTTTCTGAATTGTGTTACTGTGTACAATATTTGTATGATTTGTGGGTGGGTAGGTATGCTGTATAGTTAGTTACGTCATCCTGGTAAAATTCTAGCCGCTTTCTACCCACTCATTGGCTAGGGAGAACTGTTCTTTAGCTCATTTGGTGGAGGGTAGGTCTAGTAAACCAAAAGTCCTAGGTTCGACTCCTAGCAGAAAAGGGAATAAGGATGTGATTTAAGAGTTTGTAGAAGTATGTAGTCATTTTAAAATTATTATACAGGGAGTGGTAGATCCAACATCTGTAGTATAGGTTTAGTGTGTTCTGTGTCTCCCAGTGAATACAAGGAAGTCACTGCTCCTGTCAGTTATACAAGGACACAGTAATATACTAGGATGACTCGACAACCTCAACGGAGTGATGGACATGTGTTCATGTCTCAACACACTATCATTTATAAATATCATTAGTTCTTTTAATTTTTAGATGTTTTTCACATATGAACAAATTTTGCAGGGACTTTTTTTCATCAGTATTTGATCCAGTTAGATTCTAGTAGAAGTGTTTGACAGTTAGTGATAGTGTTTTTTTAACACAATAGTGTCAGTTTTGTGCAGAGTTTTACTCATTCAGCCTTGCCTACAAATAGTGGCTGCTTACTTTTTATTGACTTTTATAAGTGACATGAGTCTTAATATGATTGTTATACAATATGAGAATGTTAATTTACATATATACAGTACATTTTCAAACATATCTTAAACGTATTTTACATTTTGACTGATTTTCATGAATTTTTTATCTTATAAACAGATTAACTAGTGATTCAAGTCCAAGAATTATATTTTCTTATACAAGAAGCATGTGTTTCCTGAACGATATATTTTTGAGTTTTGTTTTCGGATTTTTAATTTTGAGATTGCACATTGCTGATATAGCACTTCCTTTATTTACAAAACAGCATTTTAACACATGAAAGCAGTGTCAAGGTTTCTGTAAATATTTGAGGTATCTGGTTCAGGCTAGTGATCGTATCTTTACTCTAGCCTGGTGTGTTTATGTAAGAGTTGATAGATGAAACATTTTGTTGAATTCAGATCAATTTGTGTTGTGAACGATGTGTATCAGTTTATACTTCATAATCCATAATTGAGATTCCAGAATGTTTTTGAAACTATTATTTTTTTGTTTTATGAATTAATGAGTGCAATTATTGATCTTAAATATTTTCTTTAATGGAGGGATATATATATCTAGTCTACATGTCTGATAGGAGTAACCAAAGAAATGAATGTGATGTTTGCATTGAGAAGTCATGTTATCAGTTTATTTATTTACAAAGATGACAACATACAAAAGTTTTTTTCTGTTCAATTTTTCCAGTAAATGAGTTGTTGTCAATGTATTTGGAAATAAAAAGTACCATCATGTGTCTGGTTTTGGCAGAACATTTTTGAATCTATCTTCAATACATTTTGTTTTGTAGCTTAATGATTTTTTCTTTCTTCATTTTACCATTATATTAGTGTGACATGAATGGTTAACAGTCAAATATTTTATGAGTATTTACTTGGAATATATTTAAAATATTTTCCATCACCATACCAGTAATCACGGTCCTTACATTTAACATTCCTTAAACATGTACATTAATCCTGTATAACCATTTCAATGGTACAAAAATAATCCATATTGTTACACCTCAAGTGAATTTCTGGTTATTTGATTGGTTGGGAGAAAATAAACAAAAATCTCTGTAACCTTCCGAAAATACATTGATTTTAAGGGGCGCGGGTGATATTGCCATGAGACAGTGAAAAATATCACATGCGCGAAAAATGTGCCTTCACCGCTTCGTTTCCCCACCGTGATGGTCACAAGAACGTTTGACGGCAACAGCCAATTTTATCAAGCGCCGGTGCGATAGCGATTGTAAACAGCAGACTATCAACTAACAAGATGTCATTATCGAGGTTTGCTGCCGTTTCTGAGCTACAAAGACTTTTGGTGTAACAAAATAGATCTGACATTCATTAGCAGGTGACAGTGAATATTGTCAACCCTCAAAAACCCATTGTCACCCTCGGCTGCGCCTCGGGTGACAATGGTTTTCTCGGGTTGACAANAGTGAAGATGCATTCTGTAATGGATGATGATACAGAGAAGGTAACATGAAGATTGCTTATATTGTTAGGACTTGATTATTTAATAACGGATTACTTCAAGACATTAATACAAATTTTAAAATGCTCATCTTCATAAGGTCATTTGAGTATTCATACATGTACATATGTAGTCTCAGTTTTGAATTTTAATATGTTTGAAAACTTTAAATACATACCATACCTTTTTGTTAATTAACAAGATTTTGTAAGATATCGACACTAGTCCTCAGAATGGTGGTTTGCTCGAAGGGTGTTTTTTCAAGTAATTTGAATAATTTTTATCTTTTTTTTATTATTAAAAGTAATTTTAGGTCATTGTTTTTGTATATTAAATAGCTAAAAGAATAGTGAATGTTTATCAGAAAACAAAATTATAGAAATTCAAATATGTCAAGAAACACCAGTCATGCTAAAATATTTGAAGTGTTATTGTGCACCATGTAAGGTTTTATTCATAACAAAACCTATTTACAAATCTTCCATTTGGTTATAATCTGCCACCTTCGAAGGCTTATTTTGTGATTTATAGATTAGGGGTCAGTCCTCCTTCATTACTACAAAATATATTGATATATTTATTCTGTTGATTTAACATTTTTGTAGTTTAAGATTTTCATTACTGCTGATAAAACAATGAATTTTAACATGGCAATAGGCAATGCTCTATGGCCAAATATGTAAACTAGTTTACAACAGAATCCTGTATATTATTTGTTATAATCGTTGCTTACCAATAGTACGTACCTTCCTCTTGGATAATAGACTATATATAGAACCTACAGTTACTTGCTGGAAATGCTTGTCAAATTCTATAATATTCTTATTCATTGTGATGGGATGGGGAAGCAAGGGTTGCTTCCCCTGGTATAAGTCTTTTCTATGCAACGTCTCGCTGTGATTATACTTTTTCGAATTAAATATATATTTTTTGGGAAAAAGATGTATTTGTTTTACTTGATTTATAACAATGTCGACAATTACCTTCCGTCACTCTACAGTACATGTACTCAGTTAAGTCTAATTGAAATAGAAAAACGGACATTAATTTTAGAAACATACCAAATATTTTAATGATATATAGAAAACTTTGTAAACCCAACACATCCATATCTTCTCCTTTTCAAAGAAAATGGCCTTTTTGTCTCAAATCATCCTCCTCAGTAACCCAGAGGTTACGCTCAACTACACGTTTGTCATAGCAAAATTGACTGCACAAAGATAGCTGTTTGATTGGCCTCGGGTAAAACAAAAACCTGACCAATCGCTAGGCCGATACCTGTCTTTGAAGATTACAAAGGAGCGACACCCGACTTCAAAGCCTGTCAATTATTACGCGACCGTGAGATTCTTTTGATGTACACCAAAGGATCGAACTAGTCGTCTTGTCTCATCAACAAAGTGACAATGACAATGACAATTGTTTTTATTCTCATAAACAATACAGTGTAGAGAATACATATATATATACAAGTGGGTGGCAATAATAAATGGTGGAACAGGATGGACATTAGTATTGTAAATTAATTATGTCATTAATATTGGTAATAAATAATAATAATAATAATCATATCTGGACATATGTTTTCGCCTACTATTGTGAATTGGTTGATGTGTACATGTAAACAGATAATGAAATTCGTCGCCAATTTCTCTTATATAACATTAACTACATAATCTATTTCAACGTGGTATATTGAACCACCTACCACTTTCAATTGGTAACTTAGTATTACATGTTCTAAACTTACAATACGCTTTGGCTAGTTTCGGAGGGAGTTCTAGTAAGTACTTTTCTAAACAAAGTTCGTACTTATATATTCTATAATTGGTTACTTTCTAAGAAGTATACATTTCATTTCACCAGTTTGATATAAATTTTCCTTTTAGTTTATGAAATATGGTACTTTTTAGCCCATGTATACTTTGAAACTCTTGACTATTAAATATATGTATCAGACTACATTCTTCAAAAATACTTTGAACATATTTTAGCCATGATGATTCATAATTTGATAAAATTGCTAACAGTTTATGACCTAATTTATTCTGGTTGTTTTTGTCAATTTAGCCCAAAATCCGACCATTCTTACTTTGACATTAATATCTAGCGGAAACCTTCCAAGTTCTCCGTATATCATAAAGTTCGGTGTAGACGTTTTAACATTAAGTATGTGTTTGCAAAATTTTTAATGTAAACGTTCGATAAGTTGATAGTTACAGAAACCCCAAACTTCACATCCGCACATCAAACCTTCAATTTTGCTATGACATATTCCAGGGGCGCAGAGAGCGTAGGTGAGCGTAACCTCTGGATTATCGAGAGTGCAATGATGATCCAAAACGTTCATTTGAAATTTTAGAGATTGAAAATCATTCTAGCGTAGCCAAACAGAAATAATGTTTTATAGCGTAACCACATCATACACAAACAAGTTCGGAACTCCGAGTGGATACAATAAACAGGAACTGTAGAGGAACACTAAAACAAAAGGTAGTTTGTTTTCCGGAAATTTCTGTACACCACTTGTAGTAAGCATCTGTTTCTTGATGTCTGACTAAAAAATCTAAACCCAAGTCTGTGAGTGCTTTGTGATCTAATTGTCATAGAGCAGCGCATTTTTACATAGCGGTATACATATGGTTTATGTTGTATACACCAAAATTCTTAAACAAAAGAAAAAAAGAAATGCACCATAAACACCCCAGGATTTCCCGGTTATGCGTTTCCTGCTATCCGTAGATTCTGGATTCTCCTTCGCCCAAACGAGGACATTTTTGTACTAGATAAACCTGGAGAGGTAAATTCATTAACATACAATTGTTTGATTGCACAACAACAAACAACATGCTTATAAAGATAGCTTACAACAATCAAGATACAGAAGCCGAATCGATATGAAGATATTTTCACTCATGAACCCCGACGATACACAGATTTTCTCAGCACTGCACTGTAAGCACTACTCCGATACAAGGCAAGGAAGACAAGGTCTTTAGCACTCGTCTACATATTTTATCATAATCTGATCTTTTTGGCTGCCAATTTATCATGCTTACTTGCCAAGAAGCATGCCAATGATGACAAAACAGGAGTATGCTTATCGAATTTGAAAAATTATTGTCACTCAACTAAAACCACCTTACAGGTTCTGTCAAAATTAATCTGTAAAATACTGGGGATTCCCAAAGATAGGGCTATAAACCTGCCTTTCTTGATATTAGAATGTAGAACCTCTCCAATTATTTCGATATAAAACGTTTTACCCGGTAATGATAATGTTGGTAATTAAACAAATTGAACATAGACCTTGCTAGGGAGTTCACCTGAAGGCAATTTATATGACAAATATTACATTACAAGACAATTAATCTGTATGTACTCTCTATGAGGAAGACATTTATATACACACGGAACACCCCAAGGATTGTGCAATACGAACGCCCCTAACGAACACACAGTAGCGGCAGCCGTCTATAACGGTAGCTCATTTGTTACTTGTCGTTGTACTCCTGTAAAACTTTCACGTTTATAAGCTACAAAGAGTTAACGAACAGACAATACTTTAGTACCACTGTGTTTGTTTGTGTGTCTTTAAACAAATCTTCGTATTCGGTTCTGACGAATCGTTTGTTTGTGTTTAACGTCCTATTAGCAGCTATGGTCATTTAAGGACATGTCAGATTTTGTCATCGTTTTAGTTAAACTTGTACCTTCAGACTTGTGTGAATTCTCTTATAATTATTGTCATATAAAACTTGTACTTATTTTCATATTTGTGTGAACTTGTGTGACTTTATCTGTTATTGTGTGCTTTGATACATAGATATTAGTTAAACTTGTACCTTCAGACTTGTGTGATTTCTCTTTTAATTATTGTCATATAAAACTTGTACTTATTTTCATATTTGTGTGAACTTGTGTGACTTTATCTGTTATTGTGTGCTACCAAAGACCTTGACCGACATCACCTTGGATGGTAGATGGACAGAAACATCTACAGGCGAACCATTTCTCCTCTTCGACGACGGTGAACAGAACAACAGAATGATTGCATTCGCTACATCAGAGAACCTGGCCGAACTTGCAGCCTCCGATGTAATCTTCAGTGACGGCACCTTCTACACCTGTCCTACTATATTTTACCAGATGTACGGCATTCACGTACAGATTGAAGGAATCATGACCCCAGTTGCATATGCACTACTTCCCGGAAAGAGCCAGGCTATCTACAACCGTTTCTTCACACTACTACAGGAGCACATGTCAAACCTCCAGATTCCATTCCGACCCACAACAGCCTTCGTCGATTTTGAGGTAGCAGCACACAACGCCATCCGCAGTGTCGTCCCTGGAATCAACATAAAAGGCTGTTTTTTCCATTACACTCAATGTATTTGGCGAAAGGCCAAGCCAACCGGACTCCAGACACTGTACCGCGAGAACGATGACGTCAAACCACTTGTCCGCCGAGCTGCTGTTCTTCCACTCATCCCCTTATAATTAGACCGCATAGAAGACCTCTGGTTCCAAACCCTTGAAGTTTAATAATTATCCTTTAGTGCTGTATTAAATGTGTATTACTGTTATATGTATGAATAGAAACTTTATTTTATTGCTGACATTAGTATCAATGTGGCTTGTATTAAGGAATTTTATTTTTCATATAATGTAATGCTTTTTTTTTTCATATAATGTAATGCTTTTTTTTTCATATAATGTAATGCTTTTTTTTTCATATAATGTAATGCTTTTTTTTTCATATAATGTAAATGTCAATATTTAATGATTATTTTCTATTACTTAGTGCTGTATTAAATGTGTATTACAGTTATTATATGAATGAATAAAAACTTTATTTTATTGCTGACATTAGTATCAATGTGGCTTGTATTAAGGAATTTTATTTTCATATAATGTAATGCTATTTTTTTTTTATCATATAATGTAAATATCAATATTTAATGATTATTTTCTATTACTTAACGCTGTATTAAATGTGTATTACAGTTATTATATGTATGAATAAAAACGTTCTATCTATTTTATTATTGACTTGAGTATCATATCTACAAAATGAGTTGACATTCTTAGTTGAAACAGGCTATAACTAAACTTCAAAGGATTTCCTATATAAACACCTTCCTTTGAATTTTCCAGAGTTGGTATTCGGGGAATGAGCCCCCGGAGAAACACCATCGACCTACGACCAGTACCTGGTGACTGCCCCACGTGGTGTCTCTAACCCGCGACCCAGTGGTGGCGGGCAAGTGGTAGCAGAATGTCAGACGCCTTAACCACTTGGCCACCGCGGCCCCCTATCGAATCGGCGATCATACCCCAACAGGGAAAAATAATTGACCTGCGGTAACCCACTGTTTTCATGATAAGAGACGAATAATTGTCCACGCAAATCCTCTATTTTCTTCTACCTAGCTGACATTGAAGAAACTGGAGATGATCTGAGCACTGCGGCGGTAGTTGGGATCTATACCTTTTCTCACTTCCCTACTCATTTTATTCGCCGGTGTCACTTTTGACACTCGTCTTTAATTTATATAAATACTGGGAAGAAGTTATACCCCAAACCGGCAAAAAATGGGGCGCATATACTGTATTGTTTTCAAATCCCATTCTTATTTGTTATTTGTTTGCCCGGTGTTTAAGGGAACGTTAGTGAATTAAACTCATCATAGCTTCTAAACAGGAACCTACAAGTGTGCTGCACAGTTCTGCATTGTCAGGAATATATCGATACAAATTGCCGCTTCTAGTGGCATCTTAAACGAGCCGTCATCAGTTTGGTGTTCGTCAATTAAATTTCCGTCAGTTTCCTGTGCATATTTGTAGATATTTCATGATAACTGTGCATGAATTTATCTATAATTGATATCATTCTATTAAAAATATTCTACTGAGCAGTGTTATCGGAAATTAACCAAGACCATTATACTCGAATGATGTCTCAACGCACAACATATTATCTAATATCTCAACACATAAATCTAAATTATTTTCCCGTATCAAATAAGATACAATAAATCATATGAATCAATATTTTGTCCCCGTTTACAAGGAAAATATGCTGTGGCAGCATTTATAATATATATAATACTGAAAAGTAAATTGGTTCATTAGGCACACGGTTCCTTAATTAGCTAGTGTCTATAGACCGTGTTCATCACTAAAGCCCGTCTAGTCATAACAGCAATTCGTGTTCAGTAAGAAAACCACATGGCCTACTAAAGATCATTTAAATGTCTGAAATCAAAGAAATACAGAAGAGAGTAATTTAAAAGAAGTAAATTCTAGTATAAATGAGTTATTTCTTGATATGTTTATTTTAGTTTGTTTACATGTTATTATTTTAGGGCTTTAAACAGACAAAGAAGTGTACGTGCAAAGAAAAATCCACTCCGACCGTAAATGATGCGAATTTGAAAAAAAACCGAAAGGTGATGCAGTACACCAAAACTGATCGAAAACGAACATTGTCTTAACGTCGACCCATTAGAAACCAGGCCACGGTAGCTATTTAGTCAAACCAGGCCACGGTAGCTATTTAGTCAAAGCAGGGTATGGAACTTGTAGGTAGGAGAGTGGGTAGTGTCATACCACCATTATATGTAACAAATCTGAGCGGAATCGACCAATACGTGAACGTGTTAATAGTATCTAATGAGTTGTTTCTGAGATAATGAACTGAACATATTTTCAGAAAGAAAATAATAGTTGTAAGTTCTAACTACCGTTACCTATCGAGTTTCCAAACTTCTCCCGCGGTCGTAAATCGAGGGGAAATCGGGAAAGTTGATAGTACCATATTACACACACAAAGCCAATGATGTCCATACATATTTATATGAAGTTTCATTGGAATCCGTCTGGCAGTTTTCTATAGAAGCGAAAGGAGAAACTGTTATTATGAAATGGAGTGAAGTCCTCCAACCAATGTCTTTCTTTTCTCACTTCTCTACTCTTTTTATTCTTCGGTGTCTCTTTTGATACTCGTCTTTAATTTATATAAATACTGCGAAGACGTTAAACCCCAAACCGGCAAAAAATGGGGCGCATGAACTGTCTTGTTTGAGCGTCTGAACAAATTAACAATAAAAAGAAGCCGGATTTTCCCGTGTTCTGTTTAAAGGACTTGTTAATATACGGATTAAAACAGCTTTTTGTCAATTTATAAAAATCTTCTAAAGCGCTTAACATAATTGTGATCAGGAACTCGGAAATATTCGTCAAGATGAAAGTTTTAAAACATTCAATGAAACACACAGTACAGTTGTTTCATAAAATCATAACATCGGTTTTCGCACGGGACTGCGCGTGGTTTTGGATTAGTCAGTTAGGGTGTGACCTGAGTGTTCGGAACTAATGGTAGCGTAACCTCTTTTAGTTACAATAGAGAGGAGCATCAAGAACGGTGTTACGTGATTAATGTGCGCGTAACAAGGCGGGAAGCTGCATGTTCCACTCTCTGGAGATGCCTCAACAGAGTTTCAGCAATTCCATACAACAGCGCATTGTCATAGTTTTATCCAGATGAATAGATCAGTGTCTTGCATGCGTCGGTGGTCAGGATCTGATCGATACAACCAATATTGCTGCCATGGAAACATAATAACTTAGTGATTGTTGTCACGTGTTTTCTATAGTTATATAACTATCTCAGAAGACCTCCAAGTTCCCCATAAAGTACACGGCAATTATGACAAGCTCTCAACTCGAATGGAAGTAAGCCCTCTTTACTTGTGCTTTGGTAATAAACACAAATACTTAGATCTCATTCCGATGTAAATGTCAAAAAAGTGTCAACAAAATCGTAATTCGAACTAAAATCTATAAAACTAGGGTAGATTATGACCAAAAGATTTACACGGGGACAATTAAAATAAGACCAGGTGTTCAGGAAGGTTAAGTGTCTACTGCTTGATCAACGACACTCGCAAGTTTTATCTTGGCTAACTAATTAATCCTATTGAACCGAGAAAATATTACTGTCATAAGGCATGATGACCATGTACACTTGGTCCCTACACCGATCCTTGCGGAACACCAAGATCAAGTTTTCTTTTCATCAGATACAGCGTTGCTGTTGGTTTGGTTTGGTTTAATTCTATTTAACGTCCTATTGCCAGCTAAGGTCATTTAAGGACGTGCCTCCATGTGTGTAGTGTATGCGTGCTTGCGTGTGTGTATTCAGGAGACAGGATATGTTGTGTTCTTCTAACTATCACATTGTTTCCTGTTTTTCAACAGACATACCATTTGCATATTACAGGTGCTTGAACAATATGCTAGGATCAGTAACATCAGATGCAGCATACAGATCGTGAAGCATCAGACATGCTGAACAGTTGTTGTCCGAGGGAGAGGCTGCATCATGGGGGTGTACTCTCAGAAGAACGATTTCTGTTAAATTGCAAGAACGATATCAGCAGAGTATAGGTTGTCCTGGAGAATATTATCATCGATATCTTGGCGACAACACTTTGCGAGGTTTTGATCCAGAAAGAAAAGCTTGCGACAGGTCGGTAGTTCCACAGGGGCATGGTTTTATTATTAGTATAGGAGACCCCTATGTTTTAATATTACAAGTAAAGCGATCCATGCCCCTGTGTATTTATTAGTATAGGAGACCCCTATTTTTTTAATATTACAAGTAAAGCGATCCATGCCCCTGTGGGTAGTTCTGTATATAGTGCTAGTTTAACCAGGTATCTTTATCAGTGGGTGAACGATGGTTGTTTTGAAAGAAGGAGGAACACTGTCGCCAGCCAAAGATTTATTGATGATGGAGCTAATCAGGGGGAGCAGACATTTTACATACTGTTTTAATAGAGGACAGGATATGGTCAAGTTGACAAGCGTTGGCTTGGTCCTTTAAGACATACTGAACATCTCATCATCAGAGGTTTGCTCAAGTTTTGCCAGGTGATCATTTCTAGATCTAACGCCAATCGACATAGATGCAATGTTAACGAAATCGAGCAGTTGACCTCAGTCACCTTGCTTAATTTTTATATATTTTTTCTATTAGAAATGAAAAGCGAGCAGAACACTTATCCTCAGAAGAACACGATCTCTTTTCCGAGCCATCAAATCTTTGGTGACCATTTGAAACCGTTTAATGTATACACTACATTGTTATTATCACGATCCATGTAATTGTAGGGATATTTATGTTCTTCTGACATGTAGCTTGCTTGAGGAATAAATACAATACCACTACGAACTTACAGAAGTCATTACAGATACAAACACATACGTGATTTGAATCTATACATTCCTGGGAATGCCTGATCGTGATTATACTCGGCTGTTGTACACTGCGTGTCGCACTGTTTACATTCAGTGATGCTTTTATCTCCTATTACTTGTAACTTTACAGATGTTAAATAGAACTGTTTCCAACCAATAAAGGTTTTCCGACGCACGATGAGTTTTAAATGCACGCTGTCATTCTAATCTCCACAGAGTTTCAGCACGGTTAACGC